TTTTTGCTGTCGGGATTTTTTTGTCGGGATTATGACCTGTCGGGATTTCGCTTGTCGGGATTATGACCCAAACCCCTTTCAGAAATATATCGTACTGTATTTAGTAATGCTGCATCTAGCAGTGTTGTATCTAGTAATGCTGTATTTAGTAGTGCCGTATCTAGTAATGCTGTATCTAGTAGTGCCGTATCTAGTAATGCTGTATCTAGTAGTGTTGGTAATGCCATATCTAGTAATGCTGTATCTAGTAATAAGATGAGTAACGATGACGAATATGATTATCTTTTTAAAGGTATGATTTGTGGTTTTTTTTGTGGTTAAGGAATCCGAACAAATATGCTTATACAAAAGTTCTCTCATTTGATTCATTATTGGGTCAATCGATATGTTATTTCTAATTACCAAACAAAAGTCATATGACCTGAGTTTAAGAAACAACTGTTCATAGATAGTATCATAGATGGCGCTCTACCTAATATTAGATTAATTTCTTCTTTGTTTTTTTTTTAGTTGTTTTAATAGGCGACTCTGGGGTCGGTAAATCTAATCTTCTTTCACGTTTCGCTCGTAATGAGTTCAATTTGGAATCCAAATCTACTATTGGTCTTGGATTTGGTACCAGGAGTATTCAAGTAGATAACAAAATTATCAAAGCACAGATTTGGGATACTGGTAGTAATTTTAAAATAAATTTAAAATATTATATTAACTAATTCTTTTTAATCACGATTCTGATAATTGATTATCTCCTAAAAAGCCGGTAAAGAACGTTATAGATAGAGGAGGGACCGTTAATGTTACACAACTGATTTTACACACGGTGTGAAACACATAAAAAAATTATTTTACAATACTTGATCGGACTTGATCAGTCAGCTAGTACATGTTATGATTATAATCCAACATCATTTTTTATTATAAAAAAATGGTGTTGGATTATAATCATAACATGTACTAGCTGACTGATCAAGTCCGATCAAGTATTGTAAAATAATTTTTTTATGTGTTTCACACCGTGTGTAAAATCAGTTGTGTAACATTAACGGTCCCTCCTCTACGTTATAGAGCTATACCAAGCGCGTAAGTAATTTTTATCTGGTGATGCCAACTCAGCATTTTAGTATAATTTAAATTCTACTTTCTATAATGATTATCACAGATATTATCGTGGAGCCGTTGGTGCTTTAGTTGTTTATGATATTGTCAAATATACAACATATAAAAATGTTGAACGCTGGTTGAAAGACTTAAGAGACTATGCTGACAGTAATATTTTCATTATGCTTGTTGGAAATAAGAGTGATTTAAAATATTTACGAACAGTTTCTACTGAAGAAGCCAAGCAATTTGCTGGTATGTTAATATCTGTTAGCTTTTTTTTTTAATGTCATTGATTAAATATTTCATGCCATATAAATTCTATAAGAGGAAAACAATCTTTATTTCATCGAAACTTCTGCTTTGGACGCTAGTAACGTAGAATTTGCTTTCCAAAACATCCTAACCGGTAATTTTTTGCTTTGTTTCAGCTTGTTAATCTATTGTTATCTTTATCTCATTACTATAATATTCTATCTTTCAGATATATACCATTGTGTTTCTAATACAAATATAAAATATTTGTTAGATTGTGATAAAAAATTTACATCGATTTAATTAGATGGTTGTTGAGAAATTAAAATTTTGAAGTTTATTATTTAAAATTTTTAGGCATTAGAATTTAAAATTTTTCAATAACTGTCTTAATAAATTAAATTTTTTGTCACTATTACTAGATTATAAAAATGCTTGAAATTTAATATAATATTTTTTAATAAGATAGCTGCGCAATGCAGTTGTGCTTGAAACCAGGAACGAACGCATTAGTAAGTTATAGTGAAGTTTTAATTTTGTGTAAAATTAGTAGTGTGAATAGCTTGGAGATCACAAGACCGAAAATTTTTTGTGATATGACTAATCTACGTGAAATAATATTTACTGTCGGGGATGAAGCTTAGATCGGATGATGCTGAGAATTTGAATATTTGACATAAAATTTTAAGAATTTTTTGAGCTGTTTTTTTTTGCTTTTTTTTTAAAGTTAGGTTAGAATTTAGAGTTAGAGTTTATAATAAAAGAGTATATGTGGATTTTAGTAGGTTATTTTTTTTTTAAATTGAGACCCAAATACTTAGCATCATCGATTCCAAGTTTCATCCCTGACATTTACTAATGTTAATAACCATAAATTTCGTTACACTCCGTTCCTGATATAAGTCTGAGTGACCAAAATCGCCTTATATCCAAATTTAGGGTAAGTTTATATTTCATTTAGCAGTTCAATAAAGATCCATACAGTATAATTTCTTGTATCTAAAATTTTAAAAACAGAAGACAATAACTTATCACTCAAGTCACAGATGCTTTAATTAACTGTATTGCTGACTGTCAAACAACAAGGATAATTCAGATGGAATATTCATTAATGATCAGTAATCAGCAGTGATAAATTATACTAACGGAATGTGTTAAGCACCAAAATGCATATAATGGCCCATAGTCCATAACACATTCACATATATGTAAACATAGGTGTAAATTAGGCATTATTTTTTCAGATTAATATTTTTTTAATAAGCTTCATCATTTTAAGAAAAGATTGGTAAGCCTCTTCTAGACCATCCTTGGCACAATTCAGCATATCAGAATAAAACATGCATGAACAAAATAAATAAGAATTCATCTGTCATCCTTACATAGTAAGTTTCAAGTAATCAAAGTTGTATACACCAGAATGAAGGTCTCCTATTAATCCGCAGTAAACAGGAAAAACCTTTACCCATTGCAATTTTGTATGGGATCTTGCCGATGTCTATTGGGACCATTATTTTTTAGCCTGATTTTCTATTAGGACAAGATCATATGACATTAGAATTTCTTCATCAATCTATAATTTAACGATCCATTTAGCAATGTCTAAAAATAGACAATGCATAGGATTTATTATAAGAAACTGAACAAAATAAAAGTATAGAAGATGATAAATTTTGAACAATCAGACAAGGGCTTTAGATGTATGTCTTCTTTGAGCATCATTTGTAACACAATCCTTCTATATAATAGCATTTTGTCAAATTTCATCAACATCACTTTCAATAAACCATTGACTCATATCTGCAAATTCACCAAAGTTAGATTGATTCCTTTCATCAAAATTGGCTTTTTAAATATCAATAACAAGTAATCTGAGCTAATATATGTCTATATAATTTTCTTGCAGCAGAAATATCACATAAACAACAAATAACTGCAGCTCTAATAAATTTGCCAGAACACCTAAATTTATTATGTTAATAATAATAATAAATATTTAATAAAGATGTAAATTTCAAATATATTCAACATATAAATATAATCAAAACAACTCTCTCTGCTGATCCTCTGTACACAAAAATACAAAAACAAAACAACGACAAAAAATGACAGAAACACACAAATGACTATAGAAAACAAGACTTGCAGCTCTAAGAAAAAAGCAAGAAGAATAAAAATAATACTTAGTTTCTTAAGAGACTTGAGTAAATAAAGCAGAAGCGGCAAAGATATAGTAAAAAAACTAGAAAAATCATTGATAATTTTGCCCTTTGCAAGTCGTTTGGGGATTGGCCTTGACCTGTAAATGCAGGTCAGTTACTGTCATACAAGATACACAACACGTAATGAAGAATAAACAAAGAAAATATGCTAAAAACACATGATGGATGAAAACAAAGATGATATACAAACACAACAACAAATTAGTTACATGAAACAAGAAACAATAGAAAATGTTAAAACTAAACCGATAACAGCAGAATAAGCAGAGGAACAAATAGCAGCAATACATATAGAATTAAGACAATATAGAACAAAAAGAATTAAATATACAGAACTTGCACTCAGTAAAA